AGAGCTATAAGTTTAAGTGGTTATAGGGACATAAGTACATTACAGATTTATAGGTTGTAAGAATGACACGGATTCTAACTAAGCTAAAGTGAAGGTATTGTCAGGATTATGTGCCTTTCCTGAGGTCCTTAGGGAGAATCCTTTTTCTTGCTTTTTTCTGGCATATAAAGGCTGTCTGTATTACTTTACTGAGGGAACTCTGCTCCCCAAAGCCAGCAGCAGCATCAGATTTCTTTAACCCTTCAGCAGAGTTCATGGCTTCTTCTCAGTGACGTTCAGAAAGATTCTCCTCTTGTAATGACTCATGATTTCATAAAGCCCACTTGATAATCTAAAAGAATATTTCCATCTCAGTGTCTTTAACCTTAGTACATTTGGAAACCCATTTTCAGTGTACTATAAAGCAGTGTATTCACAGAGTCTGGTGATTAGAATGCGGACTTTTTGAGTGGCTGTTCTACTTTGATTTCTGCTTCCATTGTTTTCTTGTAGAATAATTTTTTTAAGTTGATTAAAGGAAAAGCAGTTAGTAAAATGTGTACGAATATGGTAAAAAATAATGAAATCAGCACTTGAATCAATAAAATTGGGAAGCATTTCACCTTAGGAGGCAGCCCAGTATCAGGAAAAAGGAACACCAGAACAGGTCAGAACTAAGTGGAACCAGCCAGACTTAGATTTTTCTGCAACTGGCTAGCTCCACCCAGGATTGCCACATTTGTTCAGTTTCCTCAACCTAAAGAAAGTATTGACCTGACAGGCAGTCTCCAAAGAACCTCAAGCTTTACTTAACTAATTCTGATGAATCGATATTTATGATACAAAGTTCCATGTCAGGACTAAATTCAGTGTGAAATGTCTCTAACTTAAATGATTAAAAACATCTGTTCTGAGCTGGGTGTGGTGGCACTCCTTTAATCCCAGCACTTGGGGAGGCAGAGGCAGGTGTATCTCCACGAGTTCCAAGCCAGCCTGGGCTCCATAGTGAATCCAGGCTAGCTGTGACTATAAGGAAAACCTGTCTCAAAAAGACCAAAAGGAAAAAAAAAAAAAATCGGTTCTATTGAAAAACACTATCTTCCCAGAGTATAGCTATTAGGTTCAGCATGTCAGGCTTGGCTAGTTATTTGAATGGTTGCTGTTATAACCATTGTGATTGTCCCACTAAGGTTGGACATCCATTTTTTTTTCTATTTAGTTAATTTTAAATTTTTTAAATGATACAGGGGAGTGAATGCAGGACCTTGCACATGCTAACAAGCACTCTGTTGACTGAGATACACCCCCAGACTATTCAGGGTTTTGTTTTGTTTTGTTTTTAACATCATTTTGAAATGATGAGTGCTTATTTTCAGTTGCACTCACTCATGAAACAATTGTGGGTTCCTCAAGGACATTTCCTGAACTTAGCCAAATAGGAAGTTCTGTAAAGGCAAAAAGTAGACAATTGGTGAAATAAGACTCTAAATTAGACTAAAGTGGACTAAAGACTGAAAAGGAGCTAGCTAATTCCTAACACATTCTTCAAATGCATACACTCATTAAATCAATTTTACTCAAGGGAATACCTATACTAGTCTTAAGATAATAGATTATTTCAATTCTAATAATTTTTAGTGTTCTTTTGTTCTTTTAATTAAAACTGCTTACCAAAGAGTTTTAATTCCTTTGTCCACTAAGAAAAATTACAAGTTTCAATATTCCATTTCTTAAAATAACATGTCATTTTGTGTTTATTCCTGAACTGTAATGTTTAAAAGTGGACTGTTTTCTTTGATTACCAAGAGTCTCACATCAGCTCCTCTGGCTCTTCCTCCTGTGCTCTTTACCCCTTCACACTGTGCCAATTACAGGTGGATGCTCAATTTCTCCCCACAGACAAGATAAATAAGCTTGGAAGGTTTCCTAGCAACATATTGTTCTGGGAACCTGTTCTGTTTCCCTGAAGATATGAAGCCAAACATCTTAGAGTCTCAGCCATATGGGAAAGAATTTGCTTATTGAGGGTGTTTAGTGCATTTTTAAAAGATATTATTGAGAGTGTTTAGTACCTTTTTTAAAAAATTCACTTTGAAATGAACCTTTTAGCATAAACAGTGAGCTTGATTTTAAAAGTTTGGTTTTACATGTTTAAAAATCTTACTTGATAGTTTGAAGAATTCTCTAGAAACAAGTTTTCAGCATGTAATTCAGTTATTGATGAATGGATCCATTTTAGAACTATATAGAGAATGTCTCCACACATGCTGATACTCAGCCTACCCTGGTGGTATAGTATTCCAGCTGCAAAATTGATGAAAGACTTCTGACCCACTGGTCCTGGATTCAACTCTCTTTAACAGTACCTTGAGCTCCCTCACACAACCCCTGATTCTAGGTGTTCAAGCAGAGACACCTTGTTACTGCTTAAAACCTCAAGATTTTCTCCTGTTTCTCCTTAGCTCCAGGGTATTTTCTTTACAGTGATTTGCTACTTAATCTTGAGAGTCTATTTTTAGTTTTCTGAGTATATGATTAACCCATTTGGAAAAGAAAACTAAAGGAAATAGAGGCCACCATCAAAATCAAGAAAAAGTGTTTGGCTAGCACATGATCTTGTATCTTTCCCTTGTTTAACTGATGGTCTATGAAGTCAAACAGTTGGCAGGTGGCGCTTTCCTTTGTTTGCCCTAGTTGGTCACAGTGCACTGTGGAAGGTCTCTAGAGATGGAGTATTCAAAGATTACTGTTTCTCATGACAAGATTCAACAGTGGCTTTGCAATTCAGATACATCCTGAAAAATGTTCTCACATCTTGATTGACTGAAAGATATTTCCACATGAGCCCAGTGAAAATTCTCATGATGTGGTTGTTGAATGAATGATTTGATACATCTATTAGTTTTGAACCATGTTTGTGAAACTTCTTTATTGTGATCAAAGTAGATAATTCTAGTACTTCACAGTACTCTTGGGAGAGAATAACAAAGTAATTATAATAAAAAGACCAATGTCTGATATCTGTTTTAATTTAACAAACTCTCTTGTGAGATTTTAGGGAATTAAAATTATCGTCATCCCAGAAAACTCTAAAATAATTATTTTCATGTTGAGTGATTTCCATTCTTTGACTCTTTCTTACACATACATACATATTTTCTAAATGTCATAGTTTGAAAACTCAACAAGAAGCAACTTGTGGAGGGCATAGAATGAACCAAATCCTTTGATAAATATCATGATGTATGCTGAGGGTACAGATGCATCATCCTTGCCTGTCCTGATTCCTTAAGAAGTTAACAAAATAACATGTTTATAGTCTTTGAAGCAAAACAAAATAAAGCTCTTTTCTTCATTTTAAGTCTCTTTCTCTGGGATCTAAAATTAAGGAATTTTTTTTTTCTTTTCTCTTTTTTGGACAGGGTCCCCCTATAGCCCCAGCTGGCCTGAAACTCACTACATAGACCAGGCTGGCCTCTAACTCACAGAGATCTGCCTGCCTCTGCCTCCCAAGTGCTGGGATTAAAGGCATGTGCCACCACGCCCCACTAAAATTAAGGAAATTTTGATGTTTGAAAGAATTATATAGGAGATCAGGCATGGTGGCTAAATTAAAGAATATGTAATTATGGGGTTAGAGAGATGGCTCAGTGGTTAAGAGCACTGACTGCTCTTGCAGAGGACCCAGGTTCAATTCCCAGCACGCACATGGTGGCTACGAACCAGGGGACTTGTGTCGGGACCTTACCAGACATTCTCTGGGGATAAAACTAAGACTAAGACTGCTAATAGGAGACCAGGCGTGGTGGCGCATGCCTTTAATCCCAGCACTGGGGAGCCAAAGGCAGGCAGATCTCTGTGAGTTCCAGGCCAGCCTGGTCTGTGTAGCAAGTTTCAGGCCAGCTGGGGTTACAGGAAGACCCTTTCTCAAAAATACCAAAAAAAAAATCCCATTGACAAGACTTTATTTATTTATCTGCAATTTTGTAGGTGAAAAACACCCTGATCAAGTAGTAGTCAGGTCAGTCAGTCAGGCCTTGGTTTATCTTCTGGCTAATTCTGTGACTTATCTGTTTATTTTATTGAAAGATTGTGGTCTTTAGAGAAAAGTGAACAGGTTTTTTTTTTTTTTTTGAGACAAGTGGAACTGACTATGTAGATAACATAGGCTTTGAACTCACCTTTAATCCCAAGTGCTAGGATTAAAGATATGTACCACACTCAATATAATACTTACCTTTTGATGATGACATAATTTTAGCAAGAAATGGACAATTTATTTAGATAGTTTTTATTTTTTATTTTTTGATTCAGTACTATCTTTTTTTTTTAAGTTTCAGTGTCAAACTTTACGGTCCTTTTTGGTTTATTAAATTATTGTTGCTCAAAATTTTTAAAAACTTTAAATTTTTTGTGTGTGCGTGTGCATGGGTGTGCACACAAGTGCCCTCAGATGTCAGAGGCACCCCTGGAGCTGGAGTTATAGGCAGCTGTGAGCCACCTGATATGGGTGCTGGAATCAAACTCAGGTCTTCTGCAAGAGTAGTATGTGCTCTTACTCTCCAAGCCATCTCTCCAGCCCCTCAAATTTCTTATAAAATAAGAAAACAAATTCAACAGGATAGAGTGAATTATACCTAATGATAGTTAATATTAACATACTATTAAGGTTATATACAAAAAATAGTGACATCAGCAATGGGGTAAAACAAATAAGCTATGACTTTCTATAACTGATGTTTTATTGGAAAGCCACACTTATTTGCTTAACCATCACCCATGGCAACTTTTATTATAACAACAGAGTTGAATGGCTGTGACCTCAACTATATGCCTTTAAGACCTAAGTATGTACCACCTGGAGCTTCACAGGAAGTCTGCTAAACCCCTAGTAATATGCTCCTATGTTTAAATTGAAGGTGCTGCTTTAGAATACTAGCAACTTAATTGGGAGACACATTAGAAGGTTACTATTCCTATATGATGGTCTTATCTGACATGTTTTTCTCCAAACTCTGCAGGTCCCAACAAAAAAGCTGAAGAAATATGAAAAAGAATATCAGGCAATGCGGGAGAATCAGCTGCAACAGGAAGACCCAATGGATAGATACAAGGTATGGGGAACACTTTGATCCTATCAGGGCCCAAAGGACTTTTGGCCTAGAACAGCAGTATGAAGAGTTCAGTTCCCTTCATTCCATTCGGAATGACTCAGACACTGCTCATGCTGACTATGCATTTGCAGCTAGTCAACCATAATATTTCTTTTCTTCCAGTTTGTATATTTGTAGGTAACTCCAGCTGTTGCATATATACTGGGAATCTTCATGAGAAGCTGAGAGAAAGGGAAAAAGAAAGAGAGAAAGTGGCTTTCTGCTTTCAAAATGAGGAAAAAAAAAAGAAAATGGGAAAAACTACTGTTTTAGCTGTGCATGATCACTTCCACAGAGACTTACAGATGTGAACTGTTCAAGACTGACACAAGAATGTTGCAAAATTACCCCTGTGTGTAGCAGATGTTAAGAATACAAATTCAGAAGGAAAAATAAAAACCAAAAAGGTATTCAAGCACAGTAATAGTGTTGGTTGCAGCGTTTATTTCCACAAATTATAGATGACAATGACTTTTGTATGCAGTTTTAAAATCAAGTTGTTTCGGAGTATTAAAAAGAAGTGCCATTCACAAAGATAGATCTCTTGAATGGCAATTAGCAGCACTGGTCCCAGCATGCTCTGCTGAGAAATATTGATTTGCAATTTATTTTTTCCTTCTGAAATGTTGTCTCTCTTTAGCTATTTTAATTCTTCAGACTCTGATACAGATCCATAAGAGTTCCTTCCCTCTCCACATCATTATCTAACCAAGGCTAAAATGTCCTTCTAAGCAAAGTATTATGGTAGCATTCTTAATGAAACTACAATAGGATGGCTTCTAGTTCCATAATTAGCGTTACCTCTGTGGTTAGACACATGGACATGAGCAACAGGTACACTGTGCATCTTGACTGTACTGGTGAACTGAATTGCATGAGATGTTCACAGAGGAGCATGGTGGATAGAGTCTCTAGGTTTTGTCATCAAACAGACTTGAATTTAATTCTTGGCTCTCTGAAAGAGTGGCATAGGATTTTGAATCATAGTTGGGGATTTGGGTCCCTAAGCTCCTGATCAGCATTTTGGGCCAGTTATTGAACCTTTCCTTGTCTGTAAAATATATGTCATACATGATTTCTTAGTAGACTGATGTGAGATTGAAGGGTGTTATATGTTAAGTACTCAGAATGTAACTGCTGTTCAATAAATGGTTATTGAAGTTTATAAAAGTCCACTTTGAGCACCAGAAAATACTCAAAAATTACTAGAATCGGTATATTTTTTCCCTTTCTACAGAATTGGCTGTAGAACTGATAATTCCACATATGGTTGTAGTAGATAACCCTTCACAGATAGTAGCTCATAGACAAGGTCTGATGCTATCCACTACTGTCTCTTCAGTAAGTACACTTTTAATGTCAAACCTATGACATTGTTCTAGAAAGACTTGAATGCACTGAAGAAATGTTAAAGATCAAAAATGAAAACACTGGGGTTGGAGAGAAGAAACCGAAGATCAGAGCATTGGCTGCCCTTGCAGGGGACCTAGGTTCAGTTCCCAGCATCAACATGCAGCTAACAACCATCTATAACTCCAGTTCCAGAGAATCTTGGGCCCTCTTCTGGCCTCCATGGGCACTGCGTGCATGTGGTACACTTACATACATGTAGGCAAAACACTCATACACATATATTTTAAAAAATGATTAAAAAAATATTAAAATGAAAGCCTTTCTGTTGTTTGTATCATTCTGCCTTTCTTATTAATGCTACCACTATTGTAAATAAAATCTGTGAAGAGTACTTAATAAAAAAGAGAGTGAAGGAAATGATAGCCCAAACATATATTTACATAGGTAAAAAACTGGGCACAGTGGTATGCAATGAAATAGTTCTCTGTGTCTTGAGGCACAAGGATCACTTGAGTCCAGGAGTTTGAGAACAGCCTGGACAGCATAGTGAGAACCCATCTACAGCAAAAACAAAAATGAAATAAAATGCCTGACAAAAACTAAACAGGCTGTGCTGCAGCAGAGCTGTTATTATGTTTTATATCCTTTTTGTGTCAAAGCAGGTATTATTAGTACTCATAAGCAGTAAGATTGTTTGTGAAGTTTTATTGAAGTAAAAATAAATTGTTTTAAAAATAGAAATTTTAAGTTCAAATATTATGAATTTTTTTTTTGGTTCGTTTATTTTTTGGACAAGATTTTGCTATATATCCCAGGCTAGTCTTCCTCCTAAATGGTGAGATTATAGCCTCTGCCACTATGCCCATCCCATTGTAACCTCTTACCTATACGTGTCACATACACTCTATTACTATTTCTTTTGTTTATTATAGTAGTTTCTAATATATTACCTAATTAATATTTATATCGTTTTAATAATATGTAGCCATTTTTCCTGATTATCTTCTTGTCAAAATTATACTCTTCAAATTGTACTTGCATTTTCAAGGTAGCAATTGACAGCATAGTTCTAACTATCAACAGATAAAAATCTAGTTCAAGGAGTAAATGATAGACCAGTGAGATGCCTCAGCACGTAAAGACATTTGTTTTAAAGCCTGTTGACCTGAGTTTGGTCCCTGGGACCGACATGGTAGAAGAGAACTGACTTCTTAAAGTTGTCCTCTGACCTCCACATGCGTGCTGTGCCAAGTACACACACAAAATAAATAATTTAAAGAAGTAAATTATAATTATCTTAATGTAACTAAGTAGCTTAGAAAATATCTTTTAGCATCTTCTGAATTAATATTGCCAAGAATATGGTCTCTTTTGGGAACAGGCACTTTTTAGTTAAGAGTATTTAGGGAAGATCTTGAAGACACTGAATGAGAACCCACACCTGTTCAATAACAACTCCTCCTTCACCATTGGAACCCATATGGCATAAATTACCATGTTTATACCCAGCTTGCCATATGGCAAAAGAGTTGGGAAGACTAAGAATTCAAAATCAAAACACAGAAATGCAATACAATAAGCTATTCCAATCTGATACTTTTTTCCCTGTACTTGATGTCATATAAGAAGGGCTGTGCATAAAACCAAAGTCGGCGTTAAAGATCCAGCAGTGCAGACCTCAGCAGCCACATTTCTTACTACATCAATGTAAGTATGTGGGCCAGGGATGTGCCCCTGTGGTAATGTGCCTGCCTAGCAAGTGTGAGGCCATAGGTTCAATGCCCATTACTTCCCCCACTGTTCTCATCCATCTAAACATGTGCTCTGTGCCTATTGTTATACCATATGCAAACATCAACATTGTCATGTTCTGTTACTGTACTTACTACACCCAATACTTGAATCTCAACTACAAAGAAAGAGAAGGAATAGTGTTGATACAAATTTGAATTTTAAAATTCTAAGTATGATGAAACACTCAGGAATTAGGTAGTAGTGATGGTTATGTAATTTTGTTTAACTGAATTGTACACTAACGCATCATTTTGTCAGACATAATGATGAACAGCTATAATGCCAGCACTTTGGAGGCTGAGGCAACAGAGTCAAGAGTTTGAAGCCTGCTCGGGCTGCATAATGAGACTCTTGCTCAACAACCTCCCTTCAAATAAACATGATTTCATAGTAGATGAATTAAATCCACCCCCTAACCTAAGCAAAATGATCTAGAATATTGGCCTCAGAGCATCATCTTTCTTTCTTGTCTTTCTTTTTAACTTCTTTTTTAATATGTGCACACGTGAATGCAGGTACATGTGTAAGTGTGTGCACATGGGTATGGAGGTCAGAAGGCGGTGTCTGGTGCCTTCCTCAGTTCTCTACCTCATATTTTAAGGAAGGATCTCTCACAGAACCTGGAGCTCACTGATCTGGCTAGTCAGTGAGCTCACACACAACTGTGCTATTATCTTATTATTTTTTTAATGGGGGTGTTGAGAGTCTGACTCAGGTCTTCATGCTTACATGGAAAGCGCTTTACCAAATGAGCCATCTCCCAATTTTATTTTCTTTGAGGGAGGATCTCATACATCCTAGGCAGATCTTGAATTTACTGTGTAGCTGAGGATAATGCCATACTTTTGAATCTCCTGCGTTTACTTCCTGAATGCTGAGATTTCATGTATATGCCGTCTACCATGTTTATGTGATTCTGGGAATTGAACCTAGAACTCAGCACTCCACCAACTGAGCTACATCTCCAATCCATCCACCATCTTTCCGTTATGAGCCCAAATTACTTGTGTCAAAATGATGATAGATTTCTATGAGATCAAGGTCCATCTGTTCTACATAGTAAGTTCCAGGCCAGCTGGTGCTCCAGGGAGACTGTCTCAAAAGAAAAAAAAAATTAGAAAAAAGAAAATATAGTACTCATATAGAAGTCATACTTTTAGAAGGGAGACCATCTGTCAAAAGTCAAGCTAATTAATGACTTGAACAACACAAATGAGTAGTACATTCATTTTTTATTGCTGCTTAGCTGCTCATTAATTTCTAGATAGAATATATGGTGTTCCCATGTATACATACATACATACATACATACATACATACATACATACAGTGGGAAGTACACCCATACACACTGCCTTCACTACTCAATCTTTGCATCAAGTTTGGATTTGAATCTTCATGAACCCCCAAATGCTTGAAGCCTTTAGTGTGGTCTTTTTGTTTAAACTATGACAAGATCAGGAAGATGAATATAAGTGTCAATTCCAAACCTCTTTATCAGCCTTCTTAAGTTGGGCTAAACTATTTGACTTTTTAAATTTTTTAAAATTATTTTTTTAATAACCACATACTTAGAAGAAGCATTTCATTACAACAGCATTAATGTATTCAATTACAATTTACAGAGCTAAGATGCATCTCTTTAAAATTGGCTGTAAATTTTTAGGTTTACAGTTGAATTATTACAGTTATACAATATTGTACTCAGGATAAACCCTATAAGACATAAAATTAAATGAGGTTTTAAAATATACACTTTCATACAGAAAAATACACATAAGACATAAAATTAAATGAGATTTTAACCTTTAAAA